GAGAGAGAGCTTCCCTGTCACATCCACAAAGAGCAGTTTTGATGTGAAAGAACAGCCAAACATGGGGCGCACCAGCACAGGAAAAGCCATGGCGCCGAACAAAACAGTCATCCAGTCATTCTCTTAGTAAAAATATATTTGTCACGACGCGGTGGAATCAGGCTCTCGTCAGTTTTTGAGCATGTATCATTTTAAAGCTTGCTCATTTGTCTTGCTTTGGATGAAAAAAAATATCCATTTATCTTGAATAGAAGTCAAGATATTTGCAAATGAAGGAGGCGGGGGTCACCTGGTTTAAGAGGTAAAATTAGTGAGAAAATGGCCGCCAAAGATGCGTTATTTCCTTAGCTTGAGAGTCCATGGACACATAAAATTAAAATTTTTTGTGCCTTTAATGAACGTTTTTCAGTAAAAATCCAAACAAGGTGTTGAGCCAAAAATAAAATATTCGATAAAAATTCACACAAACTTGCGGAAAAATGCCTGTCTTTTCAATTTGAATATTTTGATGCGAGCCTGATTTCACCACGCTGTCTCACAATTAATGTTCTACATCTGCCCAGGTTGAGTAGATAAAGCAAAGTATCGCACCGTGCCTTCTTCCTCCGTAGCAGGCCAGGTGAGACATCTACCACTATCCCACCACTGTAAGTGTATAGAACCCCCGGCCACACAGTTTACAATATCTAGGAAGTAGACCGTTTCAACCCAGTCTGTCAGGGCCCGCCTGGGCCGAGTGGGACACAAAGTTAGAGCAGCCAAGCTGTGGGAATCAAATTCATGTCTTCTGCGTACACCAGCAAACAGCCTAACCACTCCACCACGGACGCCAGTACATATCTACCAGTAGACGGTGGGCTCAACAAATGCAGTCAAAAACACAGAATGGGAACAATCATGGGATAATACAGTCAAACGTGCTCTAACGTCCACCTGTCCAAGACAATCACCTGTCCAAATGACCACATCCCACCTTGCATTTTTTAATCAATTAATTATAATGACAGTAAGACCTCCACCTGTCAAAGACAACCATTTTTTCCCTCAACACAGGCAGCCACCTTACACAGGTCTGACTATACATCCCCATCTGTCTGCTCTCTCACGGACAAACGGACAAAGAGCCAGAGGGAAGTCCCCCCCCCCCCACTGGGTCCAAACACAGCAGACTTCCAGGTCCCACTAGGACTGTCAGAAGTTTAGTTTCTCCGAGACTGTCTTGGCAACATGACACACAAGTTGAAGAACACATCTTTGTTTAATTTTAGAAAGAGTTCGGCAGCTCTTGTAACACAATCAGGTCATATAAGTGCTGAAGATTCGAGGTGCTACTACACAGTAATATATATATAAAGAAAAGAAGGAAGAGAGATAAGGATGATAGGTGTTTGATAGGAAAGAAGGTGCAAACCATTCGACAGCACCCGCCAATCATCCATTTTTCTGAGACAGCCTTTAAGTACTACAAAGGCATTATAAAATCATCTTCAAAGAAACTCATGCATTCATAGAGAGATGCAGAGGCTACACTCTACCCACCTGTCAACAAATACATTGAAAACATGATGCCAGATGCCAGAGCACCCTGGACAGACACTGGGGCACAATCTCTTGACGCTGGAACACCTTACTCTATCTCTAGACTATCGCTAGACGCGGGAACACCCTATCGAAGGAAACCCTACCCTAGACGCTGGACCACCCTGCCCTCACTTGAAGCCTGAACACCCTTTCCTCTTGATAGGCTCCCACCTGACGGTAGCACGACCTACCCTCTCTAGACACCAGAACACCATAATCAGATTCTAGAACACCCAGGCCAGGGAGCAACCAATCCCTCAACAGAAGAGACGGAAAATAACAGAAAAAAAAGTCGATGAAAGGAAACAAGTCAGTGGCATGAACAAGGAACAGACGAAAAAAAGGAACACACAGAGAAAGAGGTAAAACTTTGAGCTCTGCCAATAAGTGAACACCGTGTGCGTGATGAAAACGACAGTGACCACATTGATGAGCTCAGAACACAGGGGGAAATGTCAAATGACACACCCATTTCAGTTTGTAACAAGATCGGCCGACTAAAACTATTTTTTTTTCTTTTTCAAATGTTGACTAGAAGAACGTTTCTGTACAATTTCCAAATGGTCTCATAAATACTATACCCTCTACCGTTTGTACTTATATATATATATATATATCCAACATTCCTCGGACACAGGGTGGGTCAGGTGGAATCCCCCCCCCCCCCAA